AGTCCGCCACGTGGATTTCACTGGATAAACTAGGATATATATTATTTATATCCACCATTTTGTTTGTGTTATAGTGGAGAAATTGACTTCTTTTTTTTTTTTTTTTTTTGTTTAAATTATAAATTCGAATTAGTTTGAGATCTATCATTCTATAAGACAAACTTTAAGGGAAGTTTGTTTATTTGTTTTTTTCAAATCCGAAGAGATTTACCTTTAATTATACAACAAAACTCAAATGTGTAGGTGTAATTTACTAATTTATACTATTATTTAATTTGTTTTGGATGTGATAAATACCGTTTCAGTTTTATTATACGATTTTGACTTTGAACATAATTTTAACCATTTTCGAGTTTGAATTTGGCAAAGACACGTGATTTGTAGTTCTTTGAATTTCATTTCAATTATAACTTGAATCACCAAGATTGGATTTCGGGTGAAAAAAACATGCATGAATTGATGAACACTACCCTCAATTTTGATGTTTTGAGTTACATAAAATTCAAAATGTAACTAGTTCATGCATAACTTCATCGTCCAACAATTCAATATAACTGATTCAAGTTGGATTAGAAATCTAACTCAAACGACTACAGTTTTCTGTTTTGAATTTTACCAAAATCAGGACATAAAATTATCACAATCTTATTCAGAGTTAACATAGTATTACTAAATTTAAAACGATATTTAACATTTGAGTTCCTTTTTCTTTTACTATATTTCTATGTAGTTTCGAATAAGGGAAAATGATTTACACAAATTGGGCCTTTGCTTACAAAACTAAAACCCAGCTTTATAATATGGGCTAACTAATTCATACATTTCATTGGGCTGTCTGTATTCGAATCAATTGCCACGTATTACAAAGCCCATTTATTTTCTTACAATTTTTAAATTGGAATAAATAAAAAATCGAATTAAACAACAAAAAAAGTTTGGGTATAAAACATTATTTAATGGACCCCACATATCTAATTTAGTGAAAGGAAAAGACAATGTTACTGTTATTCCACAATATGTATGTTGAATGAGTGGCTCTTAACTTTATCACTTTCCTCAAAATATCTTGTACTCAACCAATACAAAAGATATTATTACTTTTCCAACAATTGTTTTTTTATTCCTTTTGCATTTTATTTTAAATTAAAAGCCAATTATGAACAAATAAATAAAGAAGGTGCATTATTTGAAAGCATGATCTCGTCTTCAAAACTAATATTCCATGTGATCCGTTGGGTGTGAGAAAAAAAAATTCCGAAAAGTCGTAACGAAAACCGAGCCTTTACGAAAATGCAAACACGACGTCATTTTAGTAGCGTTGTTAGGTGGGCATCTTTTTACGGACCAATTACATAATTGCTTCAACATCAATTGAATCAATTTAAATTCGATTTTCTTTTGAATGGGAATTGGAATCGGGTTTTAAGCTCCAAAAATATTGACAATACATTTGAATTCCAATCGAATAACATATTGCACTCTAGTGCCCTGTACTGCAGGAAGTTAGATGGTACACCTTATTATATCCATCACGTGTATTTCAAACGTAATATCTGATTAAACAACAACTAACTGAGCATACATACACATGAATGTATGTGATTATATGTCGCATATTTACGGTTGAAACTCATCTAGTGTAAATTATAATTGTAACATCTAATACGAGTATTACTGCACCAATTAGATCATTTCTTGCGAAAACATAATAAAATACTAAAGATAAATAAAGTCATAAGTTTCTTGTAAAAAATAACAACATTTACTTATAGTTTCACTCTTTTGTCCCTTTCTTTATCTTTTTTTAACAATAAAAAAGGGAATATATATATATAAATATTATATGTATATACTGCATCATAGACAATACATCATCCTAGTAATTTTTTAACTATTTTAACTAACTTTGACTTGAAATAATATTTACCTAGACAAGAAAAACATCAAAATAACTGCAATGAAAATGGAAACTCCGGTGGTCATACACACCATGTCAAGACCCTTCTCTCTCCTCTGCTTTCTCTCTCTACAACACGCCTTCGTCCTCAAGAACATCTCGTACGTTTCTCTCTCTACTTTGCTGTCGTTTCTCGACCTCGGCCCATCCATGGCGCCCTCCAAAATTACCAAACTGTCCATCCCTGTCAGACTCTTTCCCTCTATATCCTCTATCTGCATGCTCACCTCCTTCACGCGCACTTGCCCCATTTCCGTGCCCCCGCAGGTCACCACCACCCCGCACTGCACCATGTCTCCGCCTCCGCCGCCACCCGCCGCCGCAGAAGCAGAAACTATGGCATACCGCAGCTGTATGTCCTCCGACAGCCAGTGGCGGCGGGCCTCCACCGCCTGTCGGCTCGCGACGTTGACCGCCCGTTTCCTGACCGGGTCGATGATGACCCAGCTCACCCTCAGACGCTCCCTCGCGCGTGAGACGAACGTGCCGTCGTCGTCGAATTTCAGCGGCGTGGTCAGCGTTTCCTTGTGGTCCAGGAGGTCCACCCTGAAAGGCGTGTTCAGGAACCACGCCGAATCGGCTTCCGTCACCATCACTTTGGAGTACACCAGCTCGTCGTCGTAGTAGATATCCACCGCCGATATCAATTCGGAGGTTTCCGACGGCGGCGGCGGCGGCGGACGTTTCTGATCGGATATTTGGCGGAGGGCGGAGGGGAAGGCGTCGGAGTAGAAAGAGCGGTGGCCGGAGGGGAAGGCGGAGATGGCGTCGCGGACGCGTGGGTCGGCGGTGGACGGCCAGGTGGTGTTGCAGATGTCCTTCCAGAGATGGTCGTCGTTGCAGAGAGAGAGTAGTTCGGCGGAGGCGCAGCTGGTGGAGGCGAGGGTGGGCCCATCTAGCCTGTTCAGGATGTGGGTTTGAATTACGTCGGGGTGTATGGTGGTGATTGAGGCACCTCCGCCTTTATCGGCGGCGGCGGTGGTGGTGGTGGAAGAAGAAGACATGGTGGCAACGTTGTGGGATTGATGGATGTGAAAATGTGTAGTGATTGAAGGAAAGTAGTAAGGGGGTTTTCATAGGAGGGGGGTTTGGTCTTTGGTCAACTCTTCCACACTTATTGCACTCGGACTCCTTGGCTAAAATTTAAATTTTGATTTGACCCCCCAAAATTGGTCAAATTTCAATTTCAATTATAATATTATATAGTGGAGGGACACTGCTTTTTTTTTTTTTTTGGGTGTCTAAGTTGGGTTTTGATTAATGTTTACTTCAATTGATTGTGTTACTATATAAAAAATGGCAAATAAAGGTTGGATGTCCCAATATGCTACTTAGTTGCAATATTTGGCATTTAGCAATAATTTATTGTTGTATAATCTCTTTTACAAATATTAGAAAACCAATTTGGGTTATAGCTATTATTTATATAACTTACAACCACCTATAATTATAATAAAGGGGTAATTAGTGAAAACCCCCAATTCATTTACTTATATTAAGGTGGATATAACTTCATTTTCATTATTAGTGAGAACCCCCACCTTATATTAAATATTTTTTTTAATTAATATTGTTTTTGACATTACTAATATACTTAATTTGCCCTATTATATCTAAAATAACCAAACATATTTCACGTTTTCTCTATTTCTCTTATTATCCTCTCTCTTTTCTTTTTACATATCGCCGCCTCCAACTCTCTTCCATCTTTGCGCTGCCACCGCCTCCAACCCTCTTTCATCTTTGCGCCGCCATCGTTACTCTCTTCTCCCAACGGCGTTCCTCCCTCCACCGACGCGAAAAGAAGACGGTCTTCACCCTGGGATTCTCTCGTCAATGACGGCATTAGGGTTTTCGCTAGGGAGAAAGACGAGATTATGCAGCGGCGCTAGGGTTGATATTGCGTCTGAGATTTCAATACAGACCACCGCCAACATTGTTTCATTGTTGTTGTTGTTTTTCTTCTTCTCTGATTTTTTTTTGGAACCCAATTCTCGAATCTTAATTTTCTTAATTGGAGTTTTTGGTTGAATTCTTATATCGAAGGTTAATTTTGTGTTCAATCAATGGTATAATGGATGTTTGTTTTTGTTGAAATTGTGTGGTGTTATTTACAGATTTATAGATATTTTCGTACAGCAATATAGTTGTTTTCGTACATCAATATAGTTGTTTTCGTGCAGCAATATAGTTGTTTTTATTACTTTTTAGTTGAATGTAATAGTTGATTTAATAAATAGTTGATTTTGATAAATGACAGTTGCTGGAGATATATAGTTGTTTTAATCATATTGTTTTAATAACAGTTGTTTTAATAATAGTTGTTTTATTGAAATATAGTTGTTTTAACTCAAGACAAAAAAATATAGTAAAACAGTATTTTGAAAAAATATAATAAAAAGTAAAAAAAATATATATTTTTTTAAATAAGAAATAAATAAATAAAACGAAAATTAAACTTAAAATACAAAAAAATAAAAAAATAAAAGTGTATCAAATAGTGTATAATAGGTAGTGAATAGAGGAAGGGTAAATTTGAGAATACAAAAAGGATGGGTCTCTCACTAATAAAGGAAAATGAGCTGAATTCATCCTCATTAAAATAATGCTAGAGGGGGTTCTCACTAATAGTCTTTATAATAAAATCTCTTATTTTCTAGAAATTATATACAGCCTCCTTGTAGTTTGTAAATTCCTTCAATCCCCATAAAGAGTTTTAATGTAAGAAATGTACAAATTGTACAAGATAGATGTAATTATGAAAAGATAAGGAATGTTTTTGCAAATAGAACTTATTTAAGAGGCGATTGTAACTTACCCGACATTTGACTGATGAAAAGTATTCATTTTTTAAATTGTTGAAATTATTTAAATAAGAAAAAGGCAATGAATTAAGAGTCAAATTTGAGCAACTGAACCTAATCTTTAGGTACATTACTTCGAAGTTGCCACTAGTTATGTGCTTATCTAAGTTTTTGAATATTTCAATTGGTTATTTATAAAATTCATCTTTGCCTGGACTTTATTATTATGACAATACTTCAAGAATATGTCAACATTGAATCATAATAATTAGAAAAAAAATAAATTACAAAAATCCTTTTGAACTTATGCTAAATTATGAAAAATACCCCACCTCCGTAATTATTAAAATCTCCCGACTTTCTATCTCACACCGACTCTCTAACGGTATGATTTTTCGTAAAAAAAAATTATTCCCGGGATGTTTCTTGTAAAATGCCGATTCTACCCCTACATACGTTTCATCTATTTATGTTACTTTTTAAAGGCAAAAATTACCCTCGTGTGCCTTTACACGGATTTGTTCTTCTTAAATAGCATAAAAAATACTACATAATTAGGGGTAGAACAAACATTTTCTTGGGCAATGATTTCATGAAAAATCACCCTGTAAGGGGGTCGATGTAATATTGAAACAACCTTGGGAAGATTATGGTAATTACATAAAATAGGGGTGTTTTCATAATTTAGCCTACATTTAAGGAAATTTCCAAAATTTACCCTTAAAAAGATAAAATATGAAGAATGTGCCACTTTTAATTTGTCTCTTAAACAAAATATTCAAGAAACTCCCACGAAATTGTAGATTCTTTTTGGGGGAAAGAAAAAGTGTGATAAATAACTAAAGTGGAGTGAATATTGATGTTACAATTTAAAAAAACATCACAATTACTAAAATCGACCGACATTTATTATTTCAATTTCTCAAATGTAGAGTCCAAAAAACGTTTTCCTTCAAATTCATAAAAGTCAAGAGTAAACAAATAGAATAGGTTAGTTAAAAATAAAGAAATAAAACAATATTTTTATAAAATAAAGTAAAAGTAATTAAATAATAATTAGTTTTAGTTAGTTAAAATTGCCGGCCTACGTGGGGACATAACGTAATGAACATCGCAAATACAACGTCACCAGCACACAGTCCGTGATGCATGACGTGGAATAACATGGTCCGTTCATAATTCAGCCAATTATATATGATGTTTAATACACTTAAATCATTAATTATCAAAAAAAAATAATACACTTAAATCACAAATTAAAATTAATTAACTACAAATTAGGTACCAAAAGAAATTAATACTCTGTCCGTTCTACAATGATTACTTTTGAAAATATTTTTGTTTTATATTATTTGCCACTTTATAATTTTCATACTCCATTAAATTCATTTTTTCCTATTTTGCCCATGTCTTTTTATTATTTTTTCCCATAAAATCACGAAATATTCATTGAAATTCTTGTTACTTATGCAAAGATGAAAAATGATTATTATTTAAAAATGAAGGGAGTACTATGTTCTCTTAAGAATTCAAAAATAATTATACATTTCACAAATCACATTAAACCACTAGTTGACAAATCACATCATATAACTAATTGTTGACAAATCACATCATATAACCAATTATCATGGTTCAAGATCAGAACAAGTTATGGATAATGGTTTTTTTATTTGTTTATTTAAGAATGTAATAAAAGATATTGAATAAAGGATTTCTTTGAGCAATTTTAATAATTCATTTAAGATGGGTTTAAAATTCAGCGACGCATGGGTGTTTGGCTAAACTTATTTTAAACAGCTGATAAATTCTTACGTCTGATAAAATATTTTTAGAGCTAATAAACTGTTACATCTTATTTTTATGATTAATTTTTGAGTGTTTGAATAATGAGTTTATTTCCTATATTTACTAATTATAAGATCTTAAATAAAAAGATGGGGTATATGTACTTATTTAAAAAAATCTTATTTGCTCTCCAATAACTTATTTTATAAAAAATAAGATCTTTTTAAAAAAAATACCAAACACTTTGAAAAAGACCTTATATAAGCTCTAAAATATCTTATAAGCTATTTTTTACATCTTATAAGCTTAGCCAAACACCCTCTTAATAATAGCTTGGAATAAGCGTTTGTTGTATTGTACGGTATATACTATATACATAGAACAAGTATATATATTTTTTTTGTTTTCCAATTTTAACCTTCATATTGTACATATCCAGAGACTAGAAATTAAGTATACATGATGATATAATAGTACTAAATACAATCATGTGTGACATATGCGATATAATATATAGAAAATGACGACAAATATATATAGATAAATTATAACTATTATTAAGCTATTTAATTATCTTCAGGGAACATGGAAATAACACTAAGCTCAACTGGAGTCGAGTTCGAGCGAGTTTCATTGAACGCAACACAATTTGAACTCGATCAATTTGGTTTTATTTTATTATTTTTCCTAGTTGAACTTCATAATTTATCGGACAACTAATACGTGTTCGAACTAAGGTTTTTATGTTAACTAATCAAACTCGAACGAATTTTAATGATTGATCTCGAATATGTATATCAAATAGTTTAATTTGATTTTCAATCTTAATTTTGATATTATATATCATATACCTAAGGCCTAACAGACGTTAGGTTTTTGATATGCAATTTTTGGTATATAAATTCATTTGATTAGGCAAACTTAAAATCAAATATTAATGTCTAATTAAGAGAGACACATGAAGCATCCAAATCATTTGCCTCACTTTGATTCAAATCATCAGCTTAATTTTCACGTTAACGCAATTTTGTAGATGTACATCAGATAAAATATAGGGGCTCTTTGAGAAAACCCCCTCATTACTTTTTTTAATGGAGGGAGGTTCAAAATATTTCAGTCCATTTGAGAAAAGTCCAAACCCATTTCCAGCTATTATGTTTTCCAGCTTTAACCCCGCCCGCTACCTCATCACTGGGTTTTAATGGAGGGAGGTTCAAAATATTTCAGTCCATTTGAGAAAAGTCCAAACCCATTTCCAGCTATTATGTTTTCCAGCTTTAACCCCGCCCGCTACCTCATCACTGGGTCACGCGCTCGGCGATTTTTTTTTTTTTTTTCCATTTTTTTAATCGACTATGGAGCATATAGTCGATTAAGGAAATTCTTTATTTTTGTTTTTTTTCCGTTTTTTTTTTGGTTTTTTAATTTTTTTTCTATATGAGTATATTAATCAACTATGATGAAGTATAGTCGATCAAAAGTCTGCTACT